TCGGGAATTTCGCCATTTTAGCTATCGATCGTGAATTTTGTTTTTTGTATTTTCAGATTCATGTTTATTCATGTCGTTTTTTTTTTTGTGAACCTGTTTATTTTTCAGGAACATGAATGATGTAAATGTGTTTTTACATCATAATGGAGTATGGATCAACAATGAATACGTGAACTATGATGTCGGAGGTATTTTGATTAGTTCATCATGTAACTACAATCAACTCTGAGCTATTGTTTTTGATAAACTGAAGGTAAACGCGTATTCTAATGATCTGGAGATGAAGTATCAAGTGAGAGATGGATATCCAGCTATGAGTGTGGATGATGATAGTAGCCTACATTTCTATATTTCATTGAAGTCGAAAGAGTGTGATTACACAAAGTTGCCCTCGTGTGTGGTTTTAAAACAATTAATAAACGTAACCTCACCGGTTCGAGGCATAATACCAATGTCTACATATCCGTCTGTGTGTGATATAGAAGGGTTAAAATGTCTTGAACCGACACGGGGGGAAACTGAAATAGATGAATTTTATAGAGCATTTGCCGAACATGCTGCAGATACAATGCTGGAAACAGTAAAGCATACGGAAAATATACAGGAGGTAAACAACTCCAAAGCACTTGAATGTGCTCTTAACAACTTGATCAAAATAAGCCTTAGCTCTTTCAACATCGCCTACTTGTTCGATAATTGAGTATCCTCATCCTGATCAACAAACTTTTCACAAATTAGAAAGTTAAATACCTCAACAAACATATTTGTTGCAGATGCGAATTAACTGAAGCACAAACTAACCAAAATTTAGCGAAACAAAAAGTACCAATAAAGAAAATGATCGAAGAACACTGTATTGAAAGCATACGTAAAACACAAGCCAAATATTTACCCAGAACTCGCGCTTTCTCATATGTGAGTACAATTTATGAGAGAGTGTTATAAGAAAGAAAAGGTGAGTTGGCTAGGTTTGAGATCAGGGAGATTATTTGAGAGAAATCATGCCCTGTACCAAAAAATCAGACAAAATAGGCTCACAGAATGCAGGGCATTTTATGACCGACCCAACAATTTTTTCGTGGAAATTGGTTGAAATGACCTTCCCCATTATGAAAATTGGCCAAATGACCTTTGACTCAAAAGGAAAAAATAAATTTAATGAAAAATGATATTACAAAGATAATTACTAATATATCCCTTACCATAAATTTTTTAAACTTCTTTTTCCTTCCCTGATTTCCTCTGTGTGTGTGCGGCGACAAGATAAATTTTTTCTTCGGCCTCTCTCGCCATCGTCGCACTCGCCCTATCTTCACGATTTCTCTGTCGCCATCTCGCCCTCTCTCACGCAGTCACACCGATCGAGATCCCTTTCATCTTGTTGGAAACAAACCAGAGGTATGGATTTTTTTTATCCTGTTGTTTGTGATTTTCCTTGAAATAGATCCCATTTAAGTAACTATCCATAGCTTTAATTATGTGAGTAAACATTTGAAAGGCTCCATAGCTTTAATTGTTTTGAGTGAATGAAACAACAATTTTCCAAGACTCGTGTTTGTGAGGAGGTTGCCTTAGGTATGCACCAATGCCAATGGAAGAATAGCAACAAGCTGCCAAAAATTGATTATAATAGTATAATTAATTCCCATGATGATTAAACTGAGTGAATAAACTTTTGAACATGTCCATGGCAACCAAGTACCTGTGCTCCATTGATTTTAGGATGTTTGTAGAGGTATAATGTCCACATTAGAGTCACAAGCACACTACCAACAGCAAATTGGACAAGGGTTTGCTCGAGTTTGCTCATTTTTTAGAGAAAAAAAAAAGTAACACTGATATCACCTAAAATAAACTAGCCTTCAGAGGCAACAAATGCTAGTGACCAATCTACACAATTACTGAAGTTTTGCGTCAGTTTCGGTACGAATATTTTTTTTTTTAATTTTCGGTACGGAATTTGATTTTTGGTTTTGTAAATTTTGGTGTATTTGAAATATTAGTTATTCACGTGAATCTTAATTTCAGCTCTTATTCATGTGATCCCTTTTGTGATTCTTATCTGATGCCTAGCGTGAAGTCTGTGTTCTTGGTAATTTTAGATGCTTGATTTTTGCGCAAAAAGGGTAGACGAGTGGATAATTATGTCGTATTTGGTAGTGACACATTTACAGTGTTACCAATGTAGTGTGCTTTTGAAATTATTGGTCTAGCTTTATGTTTTGCAGTGATTCCTGGTTTTATGCACAAAGGATACAAGAGAGGATAATGATATTATATTTGGAATGATGCACTGATTATGTTGCCAATGTAGTGTGATTTTGAAATTATTGGTCAAGCTTTAAGTTTTGCAGTGATTCTTCCTGGTTTTATGCACATAAGGTAGAAGAGAGGATAATGATATCGTCTTTGTTAGTACCAATATGTGATTTTGAAATTGTTGAACAAGCTTTATGTTTTGTATTGATTTCTGGATAGAAAATCGAGTGGTTCAAGTTTCTAGTGCTAATGCAGGTTTGGAAATTCGTATTTGCTTCAACAAGCTCAATTCAATTTAATATAGCTTGATTTTTTCACCCATTTATGTTGTAATGTTTAAGGAAAAGTGGAAAACATATTGTAACTGCAGGAAGAGTAGATACATGGTTTGGACTAGCAGGTAAATATGCATATATATTGTTCTTGTGTGCTTAATAATCTGAAAATTGTATGATCTGGTAAGAACTGTTGCAAAGGTTCCCTGGTTCAACATGCTTTTGACATTATTTGTGACACTGCATGTTGTTTATATTTTCTTTAAAGATTGTAAGCCTTTCTAAGAGACGACATTGAGATAAATGACCCTTTGCTTAGAGCAATAGAAAATGAAACTGGAAAACAGTATATGATCACATAATGGCCCTTTACAGGAGTAAATATTATTTCAATAGCAATTGATGTCTGTATGTTGTACTTTTCAATATATTAATCATTTGCATGTGATTGATGTAACATATTACTAATATATAATTTCTTAATATTGTTACTCAATAATTGAATTTGAATTTTCTACTACACAATTATTGTTTTATGACTTATATTGTCTTTCTTCTCTGCTTTTAGGAACCAAAATGGAGTATGCGCATATGCTCAGGAGTCGTGACCAATAGATGCATCCTCAAGGTTGTCAATGTTGTATTTGACAACCTAGATGAAGCGCATCAAGATCTATTTTTGGATTCTTGCTTCCTTCCACTAGTTCACGTGCCAGCCTACCCTACCCTTCACCTCCACCTCCACCACCGTATGCAAAGTCATTGTGCTTTGTGGATTTGATTTGTGATTTGGTTTGTGTTTTTGGAATCGGCTTGGCACCAACCTATTCCAGACTTCGTAATTTTTAGTTTTCTTTCTTCCATTGTACTGTGGATTTGATTTGTGATTTGGTTTGTGTTTTGGAATCGACATTTGGATTTGACAAAGATTCTTGTTTCGGCTATGACTTTTATGTGTATGATTGATATGATTTATTGTGTTGATTTTGAAAAATGTCATTGCTCTTCTAATTCTACAAACTTAGTAGTGTTGATTTCGTTCTAATGTGATATATAACGAATGTACCTTCGTTATTTCATACGTCATAATGAATGTACATTCGTTATGGTTATATTTTGATTAAATACAATTATAATGATTCTACCTTCGTTATATAATACGTTATAAAGATATTACTCTTGTCATAGGTATAATTTGTCATTTTCAATGTAAAATATACTAATATAGCGATTCTTCATTATGGCTATCGCGGGCGCGACACTGAAGCTGCACTCGGTCGGCCAGAGAGCTTCCCAGGTCATCGCGGGTGTGACGCATATCGTGGGTGCGACATCCCTCTCGTTGCGGTCGCGGCCCATGTCGCGACGCGACACTCGTCCGATTATATTCGAACAGAAAGCTCTTCAGGATGTCGCGGGCGCGACATGTGCAGTTGTCTGAGGCGCGACATTCGACGCGGTCGCGACACCAAATATTGAGCTGCAGAAGCTCGCGAAAGCATGTCCCGGGCGCGACATGCAGACTGTCGCGATAGTTTTTATTTATTTATTTTTTTATTTTCTTTTTTTAATTTTTTGATGGAATGAGGTGTTAAACATTGTATCTTTGTCATATATCACCTTTGAACGATAGTTTGGACCCGTTCGAGCGTCGAAATACTCATAAAGAAACTCTTTTTGTGAAATAACTATACTTGCTTTTTTTAAAAAAAAAAAATGGATAGATCATGTAAAATCTTTGTACATTCGTTATTTTACATGAAAAATGAGTAAAATTATACCTAAAACGAGTGTAACATCTTTATAATGGATTATATGATGAAGGTACAATCGTAATAGGTGTATTTTATCGAAAAATAACCATAACGAATGTACAGTCGTTATAACGAATGTACAGTCGTTATAACGAATGTATAGTCGTTATAGTGAAAATCGTAACGAAAGTGCTCTTGTTTTGGTATTTTTTTATGGAATGATGTGTTAAACATTGTATCTTGGTCATATATCACCTTTGAACGATAGTTTGGACCCGTTAGACCGTGGAAATACTCATAAAGAAACTCTTTTTGTGAAATAACTATACTTGTTATTTTTTTAAAAAAAAATGGATAGATCATGTAAAATCTTTGTACATTCATTATGAGTGTTTCGACGCTCTAACACCTTCAAACTATCGTTCCGATGACATGTAACATGAATATACAATCGTTATCAAGTAATTCGAAAGAAAAAATCATAAAGAAAGCGCGTTTGTTGAGAAAAACAACTATAATGAATGTACATTCGTTATAACGAATACACATTTGTTATGGTTGTTTTTCGACCAAATCCACCTTAAACGACCGTGCATTCGTCATATAATACATTATAAAGATATTAAACTCGTTATAGGTCTATTTTTGGTCATTTTTAATTTAAAATAACGAATTTACCAAGATATTATATGATCTTTCCATTTTTCAAAAACAAAAAAAAAAAACCAAGTATTGTTGTTTCAAAAAAAGAGTTTGTTTATGAGTGTTTCGACGCTCTAACACCTTCAAACTATCGTTCTGATGACATGTAACAGTAATATACAGGCGTTATCAAGTAATTCGATAAAAAAAAACCATAAAGAAAGTGCGTTTATCAAGAGAAACAACCATAAAGAATGTACATTCGTTATAACGAATGCACATTCGTTATGGTTGTTTTTCGACCAAATCAACCTTAAACAACCGTGCATTCGTCATATAATACATTTAAAGATATTAAACTAGTTATAGGTCAAATTTTTTGGTCATTTTCAAGTTAAAATAACGAATTTACAAAGATATTATATGATCTTTCCATTTTTCAAAAAAAAAAACAAAAAAAAACAAAGTATTGTTATTTCATAAAAAGAGTTTCTTTATGAGTGCTTCGACGCTCTAACACTTTCGAACTATCGTTCCGATGACATGTAACAGTAATATACATGCGTTATCAAGTAATGTGATCAAAAAAACCATAAAGAAGGCGCGTTTGTCAAGAAAAACAACTATAACGAATGTATATTCATTATAACAAATACACATTTGTTATGATTGTTTTTCGACCAAATCCACCTTAAACGGCTGTGCATTCATCATATAATACACTATAAAGATATTACACTCGTTATAGGTCTAATTTTGGTCATTTTTAAGTTTAAATAACGAATTTATAAAGATATTACATGATCTTTCCATTTTTCAAAAACAAAAAAAAAAAAAACCAAGTATTGTTATTTCAAAAAAAGAGTTTCTTTATAAGTGTTTCGACGCTCTAACCTTCAAACTATCGTTCCGATGACATGTACCAGTAATATACATACGTTATCAAGTAATTCGATCGAATAAACCATAAAGAAAGTGCGTTTGTCGAGAAAAACAACCATAACGAATGTACATTCGTTATGGTTGTTTTTCGACCAAATCCACCTTAAACGACCGTGCATTCGTCATATAAGTCATTATAAAGATATTAAACTCGTTATAGGTCTAATTTTGGTCATTTTTAAGTTAAAATAACGAATTTACAAAGATATTACATGATCTTTCCATTTTTCAAAAACAAAAAAAAGAACAAGTATTGTTATTTCATAAAAGAGTTTCGTTGTGAGTGTTTCGACGCTCTAAAAACTTCAAACTATAGTTCCAATGACATGTAACATGAATATACAATCAAGTAATTTGATCAAAAAGGCCATGAAGAAAGCGCGTTTGTTGAGAAAAACATCCATAACGAATGTACATTCGTTATAATGAATGTACAGTCATTATGGTTGTTTTTCGACAAAATCGACCTTAAACGATCGTGCATTCGTCATATAATACATTATAAAAATATTAAACTCGTTATAGGTCTACTTTTAGTCATTTTTAGTGTAAAATAACGAATAAACAACAATTCTACATTATCTATCAGTTTTTTAAAAACAAAAAGACTTTCGCTATGAGTATTTCCACGCTCTAACGGGTCCAAAGTATCGTTCAAATGTGATATATGACCAGGATACAATGTTTTACACGTAATTCCATAAAAAAAAAAAACCAAAACGGGAGCACTTTCGTTACGATTTTCACCAAACGAATGTACATTCGTTATGGTTCTTTTTCGATCAAAAACACCGATTCTTCATGATCTGTCCATTTCTAAAAGAAAACAAGTATCGTTATTTCTCAAAATGAGTTTCGGCGCGACCTAAAACAAAAACAAAAAAAAAATAAAGAAATAAAAAAATAACTAAAAACGCCCGCAACAGACTGCCTGTCGCGCCGGGGACAGTTCGTCGCGAGCTTCTGCAGCTCCATATTTTGTGTCGCGCCCGCGACAATCGCATTGGTCGCGGTCGCGGGACTTTTCGCGCCCGTGACATCCTGGACAGCTTTCTGTCCAAAAAAATAAGGCAGAGTGTCGCGCCCGCGACAACCTGGGAAGCTCTCTACCCGACGGATCTTTACCTTCAGTGTCGCGCCCGTGATATTTGTTGCGCCTGCGATGATGATAACGAAGGTACCTTCGTTATTTTATACTTGATAACGACTGGACATTCGTTATATCATATATCATCTAAAAAATGAAAAAAATTAAAATGAATGGCACAAAAACATGATTAATATGAAACCACATGTTTATCAATCATAAAATATGAACCAAAATGCTTATCAAAGTACAATAACAACAAACCCTACCCATGATTTATATCCAAAATAAAGGTGATAATGCTTTTTTTTGTTCTTCTTCTCCATCACTACATTTCTTTTGCAATATGGACTCCAAAGTTTATGTCTAATTATCATATTTTGTTCTTACCTTATTCAACAGAGGAGAAACGGACGAGAGAGACAAGCAGACGGAGAGAGATCGATGGCGAGCAATTTTGTTCCTTTTGGAATGATTTTTTTTATTACAAAGTTGGTAACACAAAATAAAAGAAAGGTAGTATAGTCATTTATTTAATGGAAGGGTTACTTACACAATTTTTTTTTTCAAAGGGTCATTTAAATAATATGGGCTGTTGACCATCCCCTTTAAATAAACACCCCAATTTTTTCAAAGGTTAACACTCAGGTGTCGTTTTTCTTTACTTCATTGCATTTCGTAACTGGTGAAATTTGTGGCAGATTGTTTTATGGAAACAGATTGGAAGGCAACATTCCATCCACAATAACACTTGTACAGACACTCCAGGTTTCGTGAGTAAACTCACACACACACACACACACACACACACAGTCGAGAAAAAAGCAAATCAAGTTTGGAAAGAAAAGATCGGGTCCATCAGTCATATTTACCTAAATTTATCGCCAGACTGAAGTGAATTTGCTGCTGCGTCGTGTCTCCCACTCTCACTATCGCCGGCTCGGCGCCTCGCCGGGTCTCCCTCACTCTCTATGTCGCCGGCTCGCCGTCCCGTCGGGTCTCCCTCTCTCTATTTATCTACGGCTTTCCTCGCAGATCTCGCCGTCTTTTCGCCGTGGCAGCTGAGCCTTGCACTGTCGTCGGCCGATCGATCGTGACCTTGTCACCGCCGTGTTCTTTTGGCTTTCGGAAAATTGGTTTTTTTTTTATAAGATCTGAGGGAAAGGATTTTTGGAGAGGACAGGATTTTTGGAGGATTGCGTATGTAGGATTTTTGCTTTCGGAGAGGATGGCATCGACACTGTACTTGTCAAAGCAGAAAATGTGAAGGAGTTGGTGGACACTTACACATCTCCGGCCCTTATCTCTACTCTAGCGCGGACTTTACTCTCTAGAGTAGAGTTGAACATTCATCTCCAGCCCTTATCTCTATATTTTACTCTACATTAAATATATTATTTTTTTATTCATTTTTTATTTCAAATAAATTGGTATATATGTATATTTAATCTTATATAAAATGTTAATTACTCAAATAATAATATATGTAAATTTAATTTTATAAAAAAAGTTTATTACTCAAATTTTAGCATAAAAAATACATTACACAAATTATTTAGCATAAAAAATACATTTACCAATATACATTATACAAAAATTACCAATAACAATTCATAAAATAACAAAAAAAAAATAAAAAATTGTAGAGTTATCGTGCATTGCCACATCCAGCGATGCACTGTTCACAACTTTGGAGTAACGCCGAAATCCAGCGCAGCATTGGAGTAAATTTGGACACTACTCTGGCGACAAATCCAATTGTGGCACAAGACTGGAGCTGGTCTTAACCCGGAAGAAAAGGGTAACCATGGAGGGGAAGCAATGTAAAAAGAGGCCATTTGCAGGGGTATTTTCGTCCAAAAAAATGCCACCCCTCACACTTTTGCTTATATGTAAGAGGGAGATATATATAATTACTGATAGTATTTAAGAAAACTTATTAAATTTTACTTATCTGGCATTTCCCGTCAAAACACGTTACTGTCCAATTATTTTTTGTTTCTTTTTTTAATACAAAAGAGATCAGTTTTGGAGAAGGGTAGAATGTGTTATAAATGACAACAAATATAATTAACCTTCTTCATTGTTCTGCCATTACAAGTTCTTGATAACTTTTCCAAATTTTTTTAAACAAATTAATTAATGTCCACAATTATCAATAATTACTTTTTTAATCTTTAAACATTTTTATCTAATGGATTTATTTTTTATATATATACTAGATTAATAGATATTAATAAACAACAAATAGTGAATAAATAACAGAAAATACAACATATATTCCTGCAAAAAAAAAAAATAAAAAATTAAAGATCAACATAAAATATATCACCAAATAAATAAATTATAATTATCAAATTACAGTTCCAAATGTCAAAATGAGGTGGGAAAATGAAATTAAAAAAATTATGGGATAATACTTAAGATAAATTCCATGGACCAATAGCCCATAAGTTTTGCACATTTCATAACTCTAAAATTAAATAGTAAATGTGGCATATAATCTGGAATTAAAAGTCAGATAAGGACCAATTATTTGTGGCAGTTAAAGAAAAGCATTATCTAGACTTTATTTTTTAAATTTTGATATTATCATGATTATTGCACATTTTATATATACCTATTAATATTAAATAACACAAATTACTAAAACTGACGGAAAAAAATACAATTCTACTTGACAGACAAAGCAAAATTTTTTATCTAGCAATATATATTTCCAATATTCATCAATCAACATTTATTTATATTAATTGCCTTTTTTTTCCAAATCCTTATAAATACTCAAGTAATTATTCAAAAACACTCATTCCACTCTTTCCTACTCTAGCTGAAATAACAGAGCCAAACAATTCTCATTTCCTCCAATTATTTTTTCTTCAACAATCATCATGAGTCCCCAATTTGATAATTTGACATACTTGGCAAATAATAAGAACATGACCGCAAAGCTCCAATTGGTCAGAAATTATCCCAAGTTTTACAAGTCAAACAAAGAAAACATAAGAGAGCTGGAATCATCTTTCATGATGTTAAGGTGTTTAATTTTATTTAAGTGTTTTTTTATTGATTTAATGTGTCTAATTGATATTTTGCTAATAATATAATTTTTTCTTTTTTAGGGGAAACGGATACATGGCTCGGCACCCGGTTTCTTGGCACAAAAGTTCAAGGCGTTTAACCATCTTGAAGGACGTGTGTACGGGATTACAAATTGGGACCTTGAGGAGGACAAAAATGCTTTCAAATTAACCGAATCAAGTCATAAGTTTTTGTTCGATCAAGAGACAAACATGTACGAGATTGTTGAGGACAACTACCCGAGGTTTTTGTTTAACTTCAAAAATTTCAACGAGCTATTCGACCCACAAAAAATTGATTCCAACAAGCTATTTGGTATTTTTTTTTCTTTATCAATACAAGTATTCTTACCCTTGTGCTACAATATAAAAGATTAAATTATATTGTTTTCTTTTTTAGATTTGATTGGACGTATTGTTATTGTCAAAAGCATACGAACAACGAATTCAAATGGTGTGGCAAAAAAGTTCATCGATGTTGTTGTAGAAGATGTTGAGTAAGTTATACGTCATACTCATTTCTTTATATTTAAGTAATTACGATGGTATTTGATATTAAAACTTTATTATCTATAATTTTGTAGGGGCTGTCATTTAACTTGCACATTATGGGAAGGATATGTGCAAATTATTATTGATGCCTTGAACAATTCCTCTATAAATGACTTGCGTGTAATCATTGTCCAAGTTTGCCGATCAAAGGCTCTTGAAGATGGTACATTCTTCACTTTGCTTGATATTTTTTATTTACCTTACAATTTATATTGTTATCCCTAAAAAATTAGTTTGCCCTTTTAGGCTCAATAAAAGTTGGAAACATATTTTATGCTACGAAGCTAATAGTGGGTGAAGTGCCCGAAATATTGGATTTCAATGCAAGGTATTGAAAATTAGATTATTTTTTTATAATTTCTTATTATTTGATATTGTACTTGATCAATTCAATAATATATTTATATTTCGAAATTAATTTATTGAATATAAAGGTACAATTAATTAGTGTCCACAATTATCAATAATTATTTTTTAATCTCTAAACATTTCTGTTTAATGGTTTAATTTTTATATACATACTAAATTAGTAGATATTAATGAACAACAAATAGTTAATAAATAACAGAAAATACAAGACATCATAAAAACAAATTTAAAATAAAAAAAATTCAGAAGGTCCTTCTCCTTAAAAGTGTGTACAAGTCCTNATTAAAGATCAACATATTGTAACGCCTCGATCATTATTATAATATTACGACGATTTCACTGCTCGACTTTTGAGTAAAATTCGTAATTTTCAGAAATTCAAGATTTACTTAATTTATATGCTAAATGCTCAATTATGTTAGATTATTCTTTAGAAGTTTCTAAGTCATGTTAAAATCAAGATCGATCCATTAATTTGGGTTCATAAGTGTAATTCAGTCGACTCGAGAATTTTAGCCTCGGACCCTAATCTCGATCCGAATAAATTTCCAAGTCATTTCTGAGTATTTTTCCCAAGTCATTGCCTAGTCATAGTAGTATCATACTTACAATAATTCTAAGTATTCAAAAACTCCAAATTCAAGCCTTAGACCCGGGGCCGCACCATAGCCGTGCGCGTGACCTTGGTCGCACACCCGAGGCACGAACCCATGCCATGGCCTTACCCAAGACTTATCCAATCCTTAGTATATCATTGGTATATTTTTCTAAGTCATTTGATCATAAGAAAAAGGCTAAAAATCGGTCCAAGCATCATTCACGTGCGCAGCCCGTAGGCCACGCGTGCAGCCCAGCAACCCCGTAGGCCCCCGCGCATCCCAGGCCTGCCCCACGTCCAGACAGCGTCAGCCCACCTTTCTGGGCCCATTGCACCAACCTCCAGCCCACTTTCACCGAGCCCAAATTAGGGAGGATGCAACCAACTTATTAAGGAGTATTTGCAGCCCATATGGCCCTAGGAAAGTCTTGGTTAAAGTCAATTGGTCTTGGCCTAAGTTAGTGGAGAACATTATGGATTATTTTAATGCCTTGGGTGAAGCAATGTCCCCCATTACCATGGGACATCCGACCAGACCTCTCCACCACCCCATAACACTCTGAAAAAGGCCCTTAAAACCTTGCAAAGTCGGACCAAGTGTGTCCCCAAGACTCCCCTAAGTCCTATGCACATTGGTGTGACCAAATGTCTCTCATTTGTCCCCTTTTGACCAAGTTCTTGAAACCTCAGCCCCTTATATCTATATAAGACCATTTCTTCAGACCTTAGAAGATCTTAGACTCGTAAATATTCGGCCATACTTAGGAAAATAAGAGATAAACCAAGAACTCCCACCCTTAGCCACACACACGCGCGAGAAGGCCCTAAGAGAGGGAGTGTCGGCCATTTTCGTGTTCTAGCCATATTCCACCGAGGTTAAGCATGTTCATTGTGTTCCTAGGATTGTGCTAAGCTTCCAGCAATTTATGAAGGTAAGCCCTATCTATATAATAAGATTTATCATAGCCTCTCAAGACCTGAAACAAGCCCTATCAAGTCCCTAGCAACCATTTTCCATCTTTGGTGAAGGTAAGCCCAAGAAATCCTTATTCCTCAGCTATTTTATGATAAAATAAGATTTATCATGAAGAGAAATGAAGCCATACATGTCATTTTCCATGAGTTTCGATTTTTATAATTTAAATACCTTATTTTCGAATTTTTAGCCACAAGCATGGAATAGCCGAAATTTATAGCTTAATGTCACTTAAAAATCATAAGATTTAAGATGTGTAAGTTTGAGAATTTTTGGAGTACGTTTGTTTGGTCAATTAGCCCATAAATTTATGCTATTTTTTCGCTCCCGAGCCATGTCGATGCCCATGAATGTAAAGCCTATCATGTTAGCCTTAAAAATCATGTTTTTACATGTAAAGTACTCGGCCATACTCATTTATGCAAGATTAAGAAGTTGGTTCGGTCGACTCGTTCATGATTTTATGTGAAATTTCACCTCCGAGCCATATCACCATAAATGCAAGTATAAGCCATCATGCTATCCTCATTAACCATGATTTTTGACGTATATAACACGGCATACTCATTCATGCAAGTTAGAGAAGTTGGTTCGGTCGACTCGTTCGTGATTTTATGTGATTTTCACCTCCGAGCCATAACAATATGCATGCAAGAAAAGCCTACCATGTATAGTCTTAAAAATCATGTTTTGGGATGTATAATACTCGGCCTTAGTCAAATGTTCAAGTTTATGAAGTTGGTTCGGTGACCCTAGGTCCGTATGTGCCTTATCGGCCCTACCGGACCAAGTCCATGCATGCCCGAGGTCTCCTAGGGCTCCTTTGAATTTTTATGTTGATTTTATCATATTAAGTTTATATAAGTTGCATGTCCTTAGAAAAGTTACAAAATAGTCGAAAAGGGCCGGTCACGGTCACTAACCACGCATACCGCGCATGCAGTGCCGGCCCCGTGCCTGTCTGCGCGCCCAGCAGCCCCAGGGACGCCTGGCAGCGCCCAGTAAGCCTCAGCCCACGCTTGTGGCATGCCCAGTGCATGCTAGCGCACCCAGCGGGCCGCGGGACGTGCCCCAGCAGCTCGTCTGCGTACCCAACAGCCTCAGAGGACGCCCGGCAGCGCCCGCGTAGCCCCAGACCGTGTCAGTCCCGAGTCCAGCCGTGCCAGGGCTGTGCCTAGCGCATCCCGCCCAGCGCCGCACCCGGGCACCAGCAGGCCCGGTGCGGGACCGAGCCCGGTCAACCCGAGCCAGCGCCTGACCGCCCGGTTCAGCCCGAGCCGGCGGTCCGGCCAATCAGCGAACCGGCTGGTTGACCGGTGGTTCGAGTCTATATTTTGGCTCGTGAGTTCCGATCCGAGTTTTATTCCGGACTTTGAGTATTTTTCCGAGCCAATCCAGTCAGTTCAAGTATACCAATTATAAATTCAGACTTAGTATATTTTTAAGCGAACTCTCAGCACAGTCTATTTCATCCGGTAAAATGAGCATTTAGAACCGAGCATCTTAGCATAATCATTCTGAGCATAATACTTAGCATTATTTTATATGTTATGTAGCCTAAGGAAAGTCGAGCTTCCGACCGCTACTTCTGTTCAAGCACTTGCCAGCTATTTTCAGTATACCAGGTGGGAGCCTTTACAGGGCATTACGTTGCGCATTTCAGTTATCCAGTATAAGGTACGTGAGTAAGTAAGTTACCCGGACGGTTGAATCATCCCGTTTGTGGTTCAATTGAGTTTCTCCCAAGTGAGAGGCCGACCTAAGGGCCTTTCTATTCCGCCTGGTACCCGCAGATCAGGTTGTGCACATCGAGCGGCCGACCTAAGGGCCGAGGGTATTTGACCACAAGAAAAGAAAAGAAAAGAAGAGAAAAGAAAAGAAAAGAAAACAAAAGAAAAGAAAAGAAAGATTAAGTTCAGCTCGTATATATTAAAGTTCATGATATGTTATTATAAATGTTGTCTAATTCAGTGTCGGCCAGAGTAAGGGTCATGTACTGGGTTTTACACCGTCCATAATTATTGTACCATGACTGAGGTATGTTCGAGATATTAAGTTTCTCCCAGGTGAGAAGCCGACCTAAGGGCCTTCCTATTCCACCTGGTACCCGATAAAGGGCCGACCTAAGGGACTTCAGTCTTATCGGGTGATGTGCACACGAGCGGCCAAAGTAAGGGCCTATAAGGGTCTTTGAGACCACAGTATAAGTATAAGAAAAGTTTTCCATTTCAGCAAAATTTATTTATTTATTTGATGCTGCTTTTAAGTTTATGTTTACAGTTAAGATTATTACAGTTCCAGTTTTTTCCACGAGCATGTAGATGTGTGTTAGTGTTATATACTGAAAGCTTGGCTTTGCATGTTATTACACATTTACCCTTTATGAATGAGAATCATGTTAGATTAAAAAAGTTCTACGTTCTGTTGTTCTGCACTTAGATAGGGTGGGTCGTCATCGTGCGAACCGAAGATCACTCTATCAGTCACTTGCGAACAAGAATAGTTGTTCACAACCTAGATGGACATGAACACCCCATCCGAACGGTTGTAGTGTCAACTGTACAGTTTGTCTTGACTGATTAGTTGCACTAGTACATTTATGTATTGAACAGGATCCCAGAGAGGAGAAGTTCATTTTATACTGATCGTCGTAAATGAACTAGGCCTCGGTTAATTACTGCGTTCTCTTAACCCGTAAGATATTAAACAGGCAGATATATATAATATATATTACTTTGATTCACATGGGTGAGGTTCAGTTCGCTGGATTAATATTCCTACTGTTTTGGGTAATATTATTATATATAGGATGTGCTGTTAG